AGTTGTACTTATTATCGAGTTGGTAGGTAGAGTAATATCTTAATTCATTGGATTTGCTTAAATGGTCCACTTTTTATTTTGAAATATTTTACAAACCTTCTGTTTTATGTGGAATATGAAATAATAGCATATTGGAGCTGCTTAAAAGTATTTTCAGTGTATTTCTTCTTATATAAATATTGAGGGCTACAAATTCTGAATATGGTAATTATTTCAGATTTTTTTGTTGTTGTTACAGTGAGAATACAAATTTATGAGGTCATTTTTATTAGTTGATTTGCGATGGACACTTACTTTTAGGTCATTAACAGTATGGTGTAACAACATATCATGACTTGTTTTCATTACTAACTAGTTTTCTATATGTTATGTTAAATTTCTGTCTCTTTAATTATTTTGAGTCATCTATTTTCTAATATGTGTTAATATTATTGAGTAGGAAATTAATTTTATCATTTTATGTGCTCCTGTTCATAGTAACATTTCCACCTCCTTTTTCCAAGGAGGTGATGTGAATTTCTTTATTTTTACTTCGTTTTAAGTGTACCTGTGATAGTTCTTTCATTGTTTGTTCCTAAAGTGTCGGTAATTAATCCTTGGATGAAGCCTTTGGTAAATTCTGTTATGTCTATGATTTATAATTATTGTGTCTACTAGGTCTCTTTCATTAATTCCAGTGGCAGATTTTAATCCAAAACTAAGAGCTTCCAATTTGGTATTGGATAGTATTATATCAGGTTTGGTCATCTATTTCCATCTGTTGGCATTGAGTTTGTTGTAATTTGTTGCTTATATATATTTTATCATCTATTATAAATGAGCCATTTCCAATTTCAACTTAACATTCTTTTTGCAGAGTTCAACATTTTTGGCTTTTAAAAAAATTAATTTCTCCATTTCCTCAATAGATGATGTTAGTCTGATGAAGGCCTAAAGGATGAAATGTAATTACACAAACTCTTTTTCCATCTTGTCATTCATTTGCCTATCATTGTTCTGATATAGAGAAATTTATATATCATATTCCCCTAAATTGATTTTGTTATCTTTTCTATTGTTTTGACTTTAATTGCAGTAATTTTCATAAAGATCTTTCCTTTGTTGTTTTCCATTCTCATATTCATCTCTTCATGAGAAATGATATTTTCTATAAGATTAATATCAAAAGCAGCTTGGTACCATTGCATTGATTTGGTGCCTTTGAAAACATTCTCTCTTTTTGCAACCTCAACTTCAAATATTTTTGTGCTGGTTAATTCAGTTTTCTTGCTTATTACTCTTACTTTTTCTCACACCTCTCTTTATAATATTCTTAAAGCCATTTTGTTCTTATCTTGCCAGTGATTTTTTTGATTATTCTGCAATCTCGGTGCAATTTCCATCATTGTGTTTTCATCTCTCAATAACTTTATAATATCATGTTTCTCTTTTGAGCTGACATCTTTTTTATGACAATCTTTATCTGAAATTTAAAAAATTATCAATAATTTATTTTGTCTGCTGTTGAATTTGTGGATAGGAGACAGGATTATCTATTACAGGGCATAATGTACATGCTAACTAAGAAACAAACAGAATTATAATATGTTTCTTCTGACATAATGTTAGTTGACATTTTATAACGTTATTTAAGCAAGATTTAAAAAAAAAAAACAACAGAAACACCAAAATGTGAAGAACAAACTGAAACTATTGGTGATTTTTTTTCCTCATTTTAAAAATGCAATGTTGTTTACTTAAGTTTGTCAGCTACACTTAAATATTATTGAACAAATTGCTAAACTTAAAAGGAACCCTCCAATTATTCACAGGGGCTTATGGCCGCATTATGTTGAAACACTAGTTCCTGTATGATCATTGAAGTTAATCAATGTCAAGCCTGTTCAGTACCTAGATGGATGATTGCTTGGGAATACAAGGTGCTATAAGCTTGGATGTGCAGGTGGTGTAATGGATAATGGCTCAGAATTGTTAATCAGAGAGCTGAGTTCCAATTCCCATTGGGTTCATTATATTGTACCCTTTGGAAAAATATAATCCACCTCTTCTCCCTGCCAGCTATTAGTAAGACTTTTATCACTAAAACATTATTATCTCAAAAAAAATCTTACAGTCTAAAAAATATATTTTCTAGTTTTAATTAACCTGCAAAGAGTTGATAAGTCATTGAAAATGAATCCATCAATCAATTATCCACTAACTTTAACTCTACTTGATACATTCAAGTAATCATGCTTTCATGAACTTTCATTTGTATTTGCTTACTTGCTTTTTCTTATTTTACTGATTTATTTTATATGCACATATTTTATTTTCTATTCTTCCTATCCTCTTAAAATTAATTCTGTTCAAAATATAACATAAAACTTTTTACTGTCTATTATTATAATTTTTTATAATTCTTTTAAATGCTGTTTAACCTGATTTTCAATTTCCTAAGAGGCAAAAGGCTGACCAGAGTTGAACATAGGTGCCTTGTATGAATTTAGGCCACTTTTGTACAAATCGTAACAAACCATCTGTTTCTCTTTGGCATTCTTGAGAATTATGTTTCAGGACATTTTGCATTTAAAAAAAACATCTGGTGTTTTTAACAAAAGTTTGATCTACTTTAAAACTTTCTTTACTACCATTCAAATGGGATTCAGTTTGTCATAAAACTATATTCACTTTCTTTTTACTTAATATTTCATTAATTTGAAAATGTCTATTTTTCAAACTAAGATTGAAAAAAATATTTCCAAAATATTAAAATAAATATATTAAAATAAAAAAATTGAAAACAAAAATATTATTGTGAAATCTTTGTAATGTATACTTGCACTGTAAATCTGACAGCAAGGAGGATGGGACATTTTGCATTGTTTTGATTTTTTTTTTTTTTCTTCCAAATAAAGTTTGTGTTAATACACTTAGACAATCTAGTACTTTGTTTTCATTCATGGTACTAGTTTAGCAAAAGCAGCAGCTTTATTTAATATTTAGTAATAAATATTTATACTTGAAGTAGATATGAATCTAACTAGAAAATAAACTATCTACAAGGAACATTAGTTATGAAACATAATCTAAGATTATTAGTACTAATTAGAATTAGATATATATTACAATTAATTTTGTTACACTGTTTTCCCAACAATCTAAATGTCTATTCATTGGCTTCAGCTGGCTAGGTTACTACAAATATGAGTTGTTTATAAAATTATGTAATATTTAGAAATTTGAATCTTAAATGAGATAATCCAGTATACAATACAAATACTGACAATTATTTTAAATAATTTACTGTCAAATAGAAAATGGTTTCCTCCAATCATCAGTCTGGCTGGCCTGTAGCAGATATCTAAGTTTGTTATATTTTGCAATTCAGATTACTGATAATGTATATTTCATTTTTTCCCTTCTCATTTCTTACATTGTTAGCCATGTCATTTATTAGAAAATATATTCAGTTTAAATGCACATGTCATAAAAATGATTTCAAAAGGCTCTTTTTCTTGTTAACCAAGGAATGTTGCCAGACAGGAAAATTAGCCCTCATGACACAGATGTCCATTTCAATTTCATTCATATTGTGTGTATGCATATGTGAAAATCTATATTTTAATTCAATGACAGACCTAAAAATATTTTCACAAATTTTTTCATAAGTTTGAAAAAATAATTGTTTATTATTAAATAATTTCTGAAAAGTTCAATATAATGTTATAATTACCTGATTTTTTTAAGGTTTAAAAAAAATATCTTGTATTTTTACCTCTAAATTTGATTTTATTGCTTAGCCCAATGTAGAGGTTGTCTAGACTGAGTGGGAGGGGAATGTATTAATCCAATCTCTTATTTAAACTCATTGTGTGTGCATGTACATACAATGACACCAGCAAATGTAAGTCACATACAAGACATACCCATATATGTACAATATATATATATATATATATATATATATACACAAAGCTCTACTTTGTCATGAGCAATTTTTAAAAATATAATGTTATGGCTATTGGAATTATATTCCATTTCAACCTTCCTTATACTTGGAGATATATATGATCATGCAGTGATTGTGATGAACAGAGAATCAGCTCTTTAAAATACTTATGGTTGCTTCAGTTTGTTTTTTTCTTCTCCACTTTTTAAATAGAGTAAATAATTTCAGTTTTAAGTTCAATGCAAAACATTCTTTATTTTTTTTCTAATCATTTTATCTCAAGCAAGACAATAAATGCCACTAAGACACAAGGGGTTACTGATAGTAAAAGAAAATGAGAAGACATTAGTGAGGAGAAAGGACAATAAAAGAACAAGATTCAGGAATATAGAAAATGGCAATTGATGTTCCATTTAAATTTTTGAAGATTGTAAGTGGCAGGGATGCAAATCTCAAAACTTCCACATGAAAAAAGAAATTGGCATATTTCTAATAACTCTTACACAAGAAATTTAATACTTTTATATTTTAACACTTCTATACATATATAACATGTATGTGTATAGATTGTTATATATTAGGCATGCAATAACAGAAATAAAACAGCATCTCTGATGAGAGATAATCAATGAAAACTTATAATGCCTGGTATCAAATATGATTTGATGTACAATATAAATCTGAAAATGGGTTACACATTAAAAGAATCCAGTCCTAAAATTAATTTTATACAAATAAAAAATATAAGCAAGTAAAAACTTGTCTTTACTAATATTTTATCTTTTTAATAGATGTTAATTTTTATACAACTCATTCTATTTTGTCATGTTTCACTTGTGTTTTTTTTTGGGGGGGGGGGCAGTGGGTAATTTTTCTTTTGCTGGTGTTCATTAAATTATTCTTTTCTCTGTCAAATTAACATTTCTAACTCATTTGAATCTATTATTTTTAACAAAATTGAAATTTGTAAAGGAAACATTGCATTGATTTATATTGTTTTCCATATAAAAACATTTTCATTTATTATAACCCAAAAAGTTTATTTCGATTTTTTTTTTTTTAACTCCAGCTTTTTATTTGGTTTGTCGTCAGTGTGGTCATGGTGCTGCACTAACCAATAATTTAATCAATGTTCCCAGCAGTATGGCTTATCGTCAGAGAAATGATACCATCCAAGGGCAAGAAGAAACAATAATCCAGCTTTTTCGAAATCCTGAAGGTATATCAATGTTTTCCTTTTTGTTGCATTTCCATCATCTGTTACGTGTTTTTAGTTCAAATTCTCAGCCTAATTTTAAAACCTTAACTATTAGATACAATAATATTTTTTTCTTTTTTTATGTCCATGACTTCACTACAAACTGATTTTATAACTAATGCAATGCTATTTTATGAAAATGGGTAATTGTTAATTTCCCTACAGTAGTTCCTATCTAAATTACCACCAAATTTCCACCCATATACTAAATAAAATAAAAAACAACTGAATATGTTTCTTTTGCAACATAGTATTTTCTTTATCTATTTTATTTTTAGGAAAGTATTTTGAAGTAATAACATTATCAAATGCAGATGTTTTAAAAGTTGATAAGGTAAGTTTTAGTTGGTGATTTTATTAAAAGTATTTCAAATCTTAAATTCTTTTCTTTTTAGTTCTTATATTTTTCCTGTTTTGTTATTAAAGAATAATATGTATTATATTTAATATTCATTGCACTATAATGAAAAATATCTGACAATACTTAAACTCGTAAAAATTTACTTTTCACTTAAAGCAGCACAAAATCAATTTTGTTTTTTCTTTATGCCTAAATTAATATATGAATATACAAAGCCAATCTTTTCTGTATTACATTGTTGAATTACCAATCTTTTTTGGGGGAAAATGATACAAAGTTCTTGAAACTAGTTTAATAGTGGTTTTTTTCATTCATTTAAATTTGTTTTTAATGAATTTTATTTTTAAAGAAATTTATTTTTAAAATTTCTTTTCAGTCATTTCAACTGTTTCTATAAGTATGCAAAACAAGCAATATCATTTTAGCCAACTTTCTAGTGCAACCAGATTATTGTAAGGTTATAGGAAATTGCTTCATGTTCTAACCTTTGTACTCACATTATCTGTCAGCAGCAGTTTTATTATCGAATTCATTTCTTTGTATGATTCTTGCATTTATATTTCAGTGTCCATTTCTTTAAAATTCTTTGCAGGAAATGGGACAATTCTATAAATCAGGAGATAATATGCAAAATTAAAATTATCAATAATTAAGTTACTATTCTTTTAATTATTTTGTTTCATTTTCATATCTAGTTAATCTATTCAGAAGATAGCTGATCAACCTCACCCTTAAAAAGGTTCCAGCTGAATATAAGTAGTTCCAAGGTGGGTTCTCAAAAGTTCTCAGCCAGCTTACTTCTTAAAATCAGTATTCTGATTGGTCATTAAAATAATGATTTTGAAAAGTGGATCAGACCAAGAAATTTTCGGAAATGTGTGGTGAGAATTAAAATGAATTTTAGAAAAAGGAATCCCAGGAAAATATCAGAATTAGAAAAGCTTGGAGTAAAATTACAATTAAAATTTGTCAGAGGTACTTGCAAATATTTGAAAATAATTGAACAAAAAGGATTCACACAACAAATTACAGATGTTCAATTGTTAATGATGTTATCATACTGATAGTTTTTGTTTGAGTTCTTTTCAAATAGTTACATAACTCCTTCAATAATAAACATATTCATAATTTGTGAATATTCTTACCAATGTTGTATCTTATTTGTGGCATAATTTTAATTTAATAGATCACACGTAGAGGAAGTTATTGGATTCAATTTTTCAAAGTGTGCAAATACCTACTATTTCCCACTGTCATAGGAATATTTTTTGTTTATTTTTTTCATTAAAATTGGGCATGTCTACTTCATTAATACATTATGGCTAATTGAGCATTTTGAATGTTTTAAAAACCTCTAATTTGATAATAGTTGAAAATATTTCTTGAATACAATTTCTTAAATCTTTCTAAATACAAGTGATTTAAAAAAAAAATCCTTGTGATTTTGATGTATTCAGCAGGATTTGAGTGAGGAGTTGCAGCACAGTAGTAATGTTAATGATACTTCATGGGTAAGTACAGTGCACCACTCAGTCCAGACAAGTTGGCCCAACAAAAAAAAAATGCACTTGTATTAGTTACTGGCTTTTTTCTCCATCTTAGTGTGTTTACTTTTAGCTTTTTCTCCTTTCAGTCTTTTTCCTTAACTTTTTGAACCATTCATATTTACTTCACCAACCCAACTTTACATCCTTTCCATTGTAATGCAAAATTCTCAAAAATGATTTTAGTCAGTACTAATAAAAAGATTATAGGAGTCTCTCATCATAAAATATATCTATTATTACAACTATTATTGTTACTATATATAAATTGCAACATACCCTCCAGCATTATCATTACAAGTTCTGTATTATTAGCATATTTACTAGCTGCATCATAGAAATATATAAAACTTGAATATTACTCATTTGTCTTTTCTTTTGTATTTTGCATAATCAAAACATAACAAGATATTAAAACAGCTTTGTACTAAAATTCTTAATTGCTTAATCATTGTTTCTCTTTTAGTACAATCATACATATATACATAAACTAGCATGATTATTAAATATTATCAATGTCAGAAGGATTTTATGACTTATTAAAAATAAGTCTTACCTTTTGAAATTTTGTTTCCCTTTTAAATTCTATAATGTCTAAATCGTATAAACATTTTTATTAGAATGAGTTCAAAAACTTTGTATCTATATACAGACATTTATTCTTATTTATAATCACTATAATATAAGCATTTGCTATTAGTATATTTTTCCAATCATATACAATCTCAGAATAGCTTGATAACTTAAATAAATCTGTTTGGATACACTGCATAGTACAGTGACTGCTTTCTGCACAAAAGAGAATAGATTGATATTTTAACAAAACTGTTTCATCACTTAGAGGTAAGTTAACAAAATTTAATACAATTACATTGTCAAAAGTTTTAATAATTGCTTATAAAAAAAGAGGAAGTTACAAAGGCTATATAAGTTCATAAGTGTTAGTGTCAGAATGGACAAGATTGCATATCCCCACCCAAGATATGGAATCATCCGGTCAATTTTTATTTGTATTTATTGGATTCTACCTGCAAGACATTTTTTACAATTTGATTCTCATGATCAAATATCTGCAATAAGTCTTTAATGCAAAGACTTCATTACAAGGTTCACAATATTTAAAATTTGGTTGGACATCGAGTGCAAAACAAACTAAATGAGATTATCCTTTCAGTTCAATTAGAATTAATCCCTTTGTTCATTAATTTCTCATAATAAACATACAAAACTACAATGGTAAAGACTAACCTTTTTGTACGTTCAGATTTCAAAGAAATTTTTTACATAAGTTTTCTCAGACTTACTAATCAAATATTTTATCATTGGTTGTTATACTTTTCGAGCAATCAAAGAAAAAATTCAGGACAAGAACAAATTTGCTTATTGTCTGACAAGTTATTAAAGCAATTACTCACTAATAACTTTATACACTGTTACCATAACAGATAAAACAATATTTGTTATATTTTAAGCTTTAAATTCTATGCAGGGCCTTCATTTTTACATGTCTTTAATTTCACAGTTAGAGATTATATTCCTGAGCACATTATTAAAAAAAAAATGTAAACATTTAATATACAGTGAAGTGAAATCATTTTCTTTGATATATCAGTACTCTTCTTTTTCTTTTATTATGGTCCCAAAGATTTTAAACTGCCAATTCCATATCCACTGAAACACCACCAAAACATATGATTGTCACTACTATGGTTTACAATAGATTCCATGACTTTTCTTTTGCAAGCATTCACAATTGTTTCACATTGTTTTAAATTCACAGACAACTCTTTCAGCTTCCCATGTTGTTGATACCTAACTTGAAGTGAACAATGTACATGTTCATTAAGGTAAACTTCAGTTCTTTTAAAAATTTACAACTCAGAGAGAGTCTGATAAACTACCTCATGATTACATATGAATATTATATGTTTATGAACTTCATAAATAATTAAAATATTTTTTTTATTTTTGCATAAAGATAACATTGGCCTGTGATATTTTCAAGTTCAAATATATAATGGCTGATTTTAAGGAAGCTTTTATGCTGAATCCAAAAATCATTATTTTTTCTAATCAGATCAAATTTTTAAGGTACAAGCTCTTATTTGAAATGTATAGAACAGTATTATAACTCTATGTATTTTCTTGTTGAATTAAACAAATAATGCTAAATTTAGGACTGATATATTTGCAGAAAGCTTACATTGTGCCATAGTAAAATGAAAAATACACAAAAGAAGCTATTCATGGATGAAAGGTTTTTTCAGGGACTTCTTCCTGTGCTTGGCAGCCACTGCATCCTGTTTAAGCACCAGCAGTAACCAACAAGAAAGTTTACATCCCACCAACCTTGGTAGCACTCTTTCATAATGTGAAAGTCTTGGTGAAAGTGCTCACCCTGCTCTTCACTCAAATCTCCACAGTTCTTTGGAAAATAGTCCAAGTGTGATCACAGAAAGTGCAGTTTGACTCACATTTGTGCCTCGAGTTGGTGGAAATTCTTCAGTAGCTCTTCAATTTCCTTCTCGTATTTCACACTCTGGTGGTTTCCCAGGAAGTTTGTAACTACTGACTTCAGTGACTAACAGGCAAGCAGTTCAGCTTCGCTCAATGCTTCATCAAACATTGGATCCTTCATGAGTTTTCTTATTTGAGGGCCATCAAATATATCGGCCTTGAGTTTCTCCGTGCTTATCTGTGGGAACTTCTGGAGGAAAGCAAACCCTGTCCATTACCTTCACAAAGTTCTTCATTACTCCTAACTTGATATGTAAGAGAGGAAGCAGCATTTTGTTTGGTTTAACAAGAGTGTGAGACTGAATGTTATGATAGCCAGGTTTTAATCCTCGTCTTAACAGCCATTCTTGTCTGACATAATGTTGGTCATCAGCCTGGCTGTCCCAGAGATACAGAAAACAAGGATACTTTGTGTATCCACCTTGGAGCCCTAGGACCAGTCCAACCACCTTAAGATCTCCACAGATCAACCATTTGTGCTCCTGGTAGTTAACAGCAGGCAATAAATGATCCATACTGTTGTGAATTTCTTTCATTTGTACTGAACGTTCAATAGGGATAGATGAACAAACTATTCCCATTATGTAGAAGAACTGCTTTGGGATTTCTGCTGGATGAGTCAATAAAAAGTCTCCATTCCGTAGCATCATAAGCCCATTGATTTTTATCAATCCAGCAATGTTGTTGCAATAAACCAATGATGACTTATCCTGGAATGTGAAAAACTGTTTTAATTCTTTCTCACGGTCTTGATACCAGTAGAATGTTGTTCCTGGTGCCAACAGATGTTTCTCTTTGAGATGTGAACCCAGCAACTGAGTAGACTCTTTTGAAAAGTTCAGGTCTCATGTCAGGTCATTGAGTTCTGCTTGTGTCAAGGGTACTGGCTGATTGTACTTTTCTGGCTTGTAT